AAGATTCCTTCCATCAGAATTCAGAAGGATCATCCAAAAGAGCTCATCATAGGAGATCCCAATAGTGGAGTCATCACAAGATCTAGAGAAATCATCTCAAACTCTTGTTTTGTGTCCAAAATGGAACCAAGAAATGTCAAGGAAGCCTTAACTGATGAATATTGGATTGGTGCAATGCAAGATGAACTGAACCAATTCAAGCAACATGAAGTTTGGGAACTGGTTCCTAGACCTGAAGGAACTAACATCATTGGGACAAAATGGATATTCAAGAACAAGTCAGATGCTGAAGGAGTTGTCACCAGAAATAAGGCAAGACTTGTTGCTCAAGGATACACCCAGGTTGAAGGGGTTGATTTTGATGAAACCTTTGCACCTGTAGCCAGGTTGGAATCAATCAGACTCTTGTTGTCAATTGCTTGTCTTCTGAAGTTCAAGTTATTTCAGATGGATGTGAAAAGTGCCTTTCTAAATGGGTACTTAAATGAGGAAGCTTATGTGGAACAACCTAAAGGTTTTGTGGATCCAACCCATCCTGATCATGTCTACAAATTGAGAAAAGCTCTATATGGCCTGAAACAAGCTCCTAGAGCATGGTATGACAGGTTAACAAAGTTTCTCTCAGGCAAAGGCTACAGAAAAGGAGGCTTGGACAAAACTCTCTTTGTCAAAACTGAAAGAGGGAAGTTGATGGTTGCCCAAATATATGTTGATGACATAGTGTTTGGAGGAATGTCAGAACATATGGTTAAACACTTTGCTGACCAGATGCAGGCTGAATTTGAAATGAGTCTCATGGGAGAACTAACTTATTTTCTTGGACTACAAGTCTCACAGATGGAGGACTCAATCTTCTTATCTCAAAGCAAGTATGCTAAGAATATTGTAAAGAAGTTTGGTATGGAGAATGCAAGTCACAAAAGGACTCCTGCTCCTACTCATCTAAAGCTTTCCAAAGATTCAAGTGGGGTTAAGGTGGATCAAAGTCTGTACAGAAGCATGATAGGAAGCTTGTTGTACTTAACTGCCAGCAGACCTGATATTGCCTTTGCAGTTGGAGTTTGTGCTAGATACCAAGCTGATCCCAAAGTCAGTCATATCAATCAAGTGAAGAGAATTTTGAAGTATGTAAGTGGTACTTACAACTATGGATTGATGTATACTCATGGCTGTGAACCAGCTCTGACTGGCTACTGTGATGCTGATTGGGCTGGTAGTGCTGATGATAGAAAAAGCACCTCTGGAGGATGTTTCTTTTTGGGAAGTAATCTGGTTTCCTGGTTCAGCAAGAAACAGAATTGTATGTCTCTTTCCACTGCTGAAGCTGAATACATTGCAGCTGGTAGTAGCTGCTCTCAAATGATATGGATGAAACAGATGCTCACTGAGTATAATATCACACAAGATGTTATGACATTGTACTGTGACAATCTGAGTACAATCAACATATCCAAGAATCCATTCAGCATAGCAGGACCAAACATATTGACATACGACATCACTTTATCAGAGACCTTGTAGAAGAGAAGACAATCAAATTGGAACATGTTGCCACTGAGCTACAGCTGGCTGACATTTTTACCAAGGCTCTGGATGCAAATCAATTTGAAAACTTAAGGGGTAAGCTGGGTATTTGCCAACATGAGGAATTGTAGCAATTAATTTTGCTTAAAACAAGGATCAAAGGACTTATGCCTGTTCTGATTGGTTTAAAATTGTATTTTCTCATTTCCTACAATTCTTTTAAGAAGTTGAATAGACACTCCCTTGCTTCCTTCCTCTCTCGTCTCCTCATCAAAACCCAGTCTCTCAATCAGAAATTTCTCCTCAGTTGCTGTTGGTCCTCTAAAACTGTCAAAATGTCTCAAACACCATCATCATCCAATACGACTATTTCAACCTCTTCCTCTGATCAAGATTCTGGGACAATCTCTTCTTGTCTGGACTCTGACGTTCTGGAGATCTCCTCTCATAGAAAAGTGGGAACTAACCCCACCAAGGTCAAAGAGTTGAGAACAAGACATGCAGGAAAGCCCCAAGCTTCTGCCTCTGGTAATCCATCTCATCCTTCTTCTTCAGTTCCCCCTGAAATTGCAAATAGGGAAGGGACAGCCTATGTTAATCAAGAAATAGCAAAAATTGTTTCAAGAATTCTGAACGAGAACCACTCAGTTCCTGGCATTTCTGTTCCTCTGAACCAAGAAAGCTCAAATGCTGAAACAAATCCAGATGTCTCTAAGAATGTTGAGACATCGAACAAAGAGAAGAATGCTGACATTGCTCACAAGAAAAGAAAGAAGCCTGAATCCTCTGGATCTGATGACAGTGCTTGAAGGTTGGTTTCTGATATCTGGTGGAGTTTAGAAGTGTATTCAGTTGTTTTCTGCTGCTGCTCTTATTATTTTGCTTTGGATAACTGTATAATTTTATGAACATGTATCTTTGGCCCATTTGTGGCTAAAGAGGGGGAGAATATTTTGGTACTTACTTAATTAGTACTTGACATTCTATTTTTCTGCTGTCACTTATTTCTGCTGCTATCTATCTCTGATTGTTTAGGGTCTTTAGCCAAAAATCTGCCAAAGGGGGAGTTTGTAGGTGTTTAGGTATTGGCTTGCATTTTTGGTAAATCCCAAGTGTATGTGTGAATGTCATGACTGATGTCATAACATTCTAGTTCAGTTTGTACTGACTCATTAGGAACCTTTGCAGAAAAATATTGTAATTCAAATACTGATGTTTATAAGTGTGTATCTGAGCATTTTGCAAAATGATCACATTTTGCTAAATCAGTAAATAGGTTTTCTCAGATGTCATAACAGATGTTATGACATCCTGTTCTGAACTAACAGGATTGCAGGATTGGATAAGTCTGAGTTTTTTCAGGAAATAACTCAGTCCTTCCTGAACAGAATCCTGCGTTTTCTGAGGGGTAACCTAGCTCAACCCTAACCTGGTTAATAAAGTCCTGTGACCTGGTCTTTAGGTCAAACGGAATTAACCCTAGGTTTTTGGAAACCCTAACTGAAGTTGCAGCTGCTATATATTCAACAGAGCTGCTGTTTTTCAAGGATCACTCTTTATTGATTAGAAGATCATTTGTAATCTGAATAGATTTGATTATTGTACTCCAAGCAATTATCATTGTGATAAGTGCCTTGGAATAGGTTTCTAATTGTAAGGGTTGTGTAGCACTCAAAGCTTTGAAGCAAGAGTGTTTGAATGTTCCTTGACTAAAGCTGTGAAGCAGAGTCAAGTTAGTTGTGTGCATCACTCAAAGCTGTGAAGCACGAGTGATTGTGTTGCTTGATTAAAAAGCTGTGAAGCTTAATCAAGTGTTTGTTTTTGAAGAGTGTCTTCATCAATTCTTAAGTCAAATTGGTTTATGTATCACTGCTGTGATTGAGGGGGAGTGAGTAGGAACTCAGGTTTAAGTTGTACTTAGATTGGAATTGCATTGGGTAGGTCTTAAGTGAAGGAGATAAACTGGTTGGTTTATTCCTGAATTAAAATCTCTTATAGTGGATTTCCTCCCTGGCTTGGTAGCCCCCAGAGTAGGTGTTGTTGCACACTGAACTGGATAAACAATTGACTGTGTTCTTTATTGCTTTTGTATTTACTGTCATATAGTAAGTCAGATACAGTGTCATAACATTGAACGTGACATTGAGTATCTGCTGCCAGAATTTCAGAGCTTGCTTAGGAGATTAATCGGTAAGGGTTAGACTTCCTCTAAACATTTAGTATGTTTTTATTGCATTTGATTTCGGGTTTTTTTCGGTTTAGGCGGTAAAATTAGTTATCCAGAAATTAATGAAATTTGACGGGGTAACTAAGTTAAACGCATAGGTAATTATGGTTGAGTTATTTTTTGAGATTGCGACGTTTTTGGAGACCGATCGGGATTGTGTTGTTTCGAATTAGCTGGTTTAGACGGTAAAATTAATTATCCGGAAATTAATGAAATTTGACGGGATAACTAAGTTAAACGTGTAGGTAATTATGGTGGAGCTATTTTTTTGAGACCGGAAAATGGTAAAGAAGAAATGGAGAATGTTATTATAGTATTTATTTAATTATATTAAATTAGTTTAATATAATAGTTTAGTTAATATATTAATATATATTATAATTAACATTGTGATTAATTATATAACCGGTTACGGTTTACCGATAAAATTTGATATTTTGGTTTCGACTGGAGATGAATTAAATTGTAGGTGTCACTACGCCAAAAACGAGTTTTGGCACCGCTACATAGACAGCGCTTATGCAAAAGCGCTGTTGTAGGTATCCAAAAAAAAAACTTTAGACAACGCTTATTAAAAGCGCTGCTATAGGCCTTATCAAAGGCAGCGCTTTTTCTCCCTAAGCGCTGCTATAGGGTTTTTAAAAAAATAAAAATTAAAAAATTAATAAAAGCGCTGCTAAAGGGTATGCTTTAGACAGCGCTTTCAAAAAGCGCTGCTAAAGGTGTAAGTCTAAAAGCGCTGCTAAAGGGGGGTAAACCTAAAGCGCTGCTAAAGGGGGTACCTTTAGCAGTGCTTCTTGAAAGCGCTGCCTTTGTGTAAATCTAAAAGCGCTGCTAAAGGTGGGGTAAGCCTAAAGTGCTGCTAAAGGGGGGTACCTTTAGCAGCGCTTCTTGAAAGCGCTACCTTTGGTTTGTTAATTTATTTCTAAACCCCTAACCCCTAAATCAGATTTCCAGAAACACAAAATTAAACCCATATCGCTGGTCATCTTCTTCTCCATTCGTCTCCTCCCAAACTCCCCCTGTCTCACTCCATTATTCCCTTTGTTCCGTCATCTCTCCGATATAACTCCCTCCGGTAGTCATCCAACACCGCTTTTCCCCTGCAACTCGCCATCATTTCCCCTCCTCACCATAAACAAGCTTCCGCCAAAACAACTTCATTCAACCGTTCCATCTTTCATAAAACCCTAAAAGAGCCATTTCTGAGTGTTGAGATTTGGCCGAATTTGCTTCAGCTGCCGTGAAGATGGTGAAAGGACGTCAAGGCGAGCGTGTTAGGTACCTTCTTCATTTCGTCTGTCATCGTTTTTTTCGTTCAGATTTGCAATTTTTTGTACTCGTAGCTTTTGACGTGATATTGTAGTTTAATCTTTTTTCTACTATTCGTTTTCAATTTGTGTTAGGCTTTATGTGAGGGGCACAATTCTTGGATACAAGAGGTATATTCTTCATTCCTCTGTAAAATTTTTAATTCTTTTACCCATGATACAAAACTGAAATATAGTGTTAAGAGTATTTTGTTTGATACTTATTCCTTCATGTTGTTTTTGTAGATCCAAATCAAACCAGTACCCAAACACATCTCTGGTCCAAATCGAAGGAGTTAACACCAAGGAGGAGGTAGCTTGGTATGCCGGCAAGCGATTGGCATATATCTACAAGGCCAAGGTGAAGAAGAATGGAACCCATTACCGCTGCCTATGGGGAAAGGTTACAAGGCCTCACGGAAACAGTGGTATTGTTCGTGCCAAATTCACATCAAATCTTCCTCCCAAATCAATGGTAATAATTTAAAAATACAATTATTTAAATCATTGTGTTTTGTAATGTTATATTCACTTTGAGTTTTGATTCATTTCAGGGATCAAGGATAAGAGTATTTATGTATCCCAGTAACATTTGAGGTAAACCTGAGTCTGGATTCTTTTTGAGTTCTGAATCCTTTGTGTTTTTCTTATGCATTTTGTTACTTGATGTGTTTTTTTTTCATATATGGTTTTATCAACATTCTTAAGCATAAACCAAACTTTCTAGTATAATAACAAAACTCTCAAAATAGTGAATCCATCTTTCCTGTAGTCGTCATTTGTTTTTGTTATCATTTAATTTAATACTTTGTCTTACCCAAAAGTTATAGTTATGCTGTCCTTTACTGGTAGATGTCTGATCTGCAAATTTGACTATTTTATGCTTGAATAATCAATTGTGACTATTTTATAGGGTTTTCAACTCACCACCGATTCACGCTCCTTCATCATCTGCTTATCCAATCCGCAGCTTTTCTGCCTCCAAGACCACCAAACAGAACTGTAACACCTCCACACTTCTATATCTGCACTACCGGCTACTCCACAACCACCAACCAGACAGTTTCTCGTCAACCAACAATCGCGCACCTCTCAACAATTGCACTGCACCCAACTCACCAATCTGACAATCAATTCATCCGCACCAAGCCTCCGCTACCCGACACCGCCAGATCCACGACACCATCCTCTGACCATATGCTTTGCCACGGTTTCAGTCGGTAATATCTTTGTCTTGGATTTTTGTATGATACTTGTGGTTTAGAAATATGAACCATTTTTATGTATCCTTGCAATTTTCATTTTTTTTATTTGGGTCTAGTTTACTCAAAATTGAAAAGGGGGTGGTGTTGTTCTTCGAGAGAGAAAGAGAAAAGCATTCTGAAGGGTTTAATGATGTTTTGATAGTTTTTCTTTGGTCATATTGGTTTTAATTGTGTTTTTTTTTAAACATTTTAGAATGTGATTTGTGTTAGATTGGGCTTTGACCTCTTAACCGCTTCATCTTCATCGTTACCAACCACTTCTCAGAACTCAGAAAACTGATTATTTGAAAAGTGATTATTTGAATAGTGATTTTGAAAAGTAGCTTTTTCTCGATCTGTATTTTCAGGTAGTTAATACGATTAAGTGATTATGATTTAAGTTACTTTTTCACCTCTTATTATTGTTACTACTATGATTATATATGTATATATTTTCCATGAAGCTGAACCTCACGAGTCTTATTCTCAACTACCACAGTTCTCTTCTCATACACACTGTTAGTTGGATGCATTATAGTTTTCAAAGCAGTTTTTTCTGTCTCACTCACTCTTTGACTCACTCTGATAGTGTTTTTTCTTTGATTCTTCTAATTTGGTTGTTTATAGATTTAATTAGATGGTTAGTAATTACAACTTACAAGGTTTTTTTTCTTCAAATTCGGCTTATTTGTTTACGGATTAGATTAGATGATTAGTAATTATGATTCAGGTTCAAATGAATTTGATATTCAAATCATTGATCTTAGTTTGTATGGTTAAATGATTCAATTTGTTGTTTTTGTATCGGCTGAATCGGATCTAAGATATGTCTGGATTCAGTTATTTGTGTTTATCTGCTAACATAAGCACTTCTGAGTCTGTTTTAATATAAGCTATAAGCTTATGAATCCATCTTATAGCTTATGTGAAAACTTCATTTTATTTTTTCATATAGAAATAAATAGCTTGTACATAAGCACTTATATGATATAAGCACTTAATTAAGATGTTTGTTCGAATAGGTTCTAGTATGGTCCAATTTAACAAGCAAAGTGTTTCATCAGGAATTGTATGGTGTGAGTTGCTTATTGAATGCTTATTTTTCATGTTTGTTTGTAGGTTCGATTCTTTACATTAAGAAAGACCTTGCTTTGCAAACAACTATGGAAGGGCTTGTGGTGGCCATGTCGCTAATTGGAGCTACTGTCATTACGACTTGCTCTGGTCCCATCTCAGATTGGCTTGGTCGGAGACCAATGTTGATAATCTCATCTGTGATGTATTTCTTGGGTAGTTTGGTGATGTTATGGTCTCCTAATGTTTATGTGTTGTGCTTAGCAAGGCTGCTTGATGGATTTGGTATTGGCCTTGCCGTAACTCTTGTTCCGGTTTATATATCGGAGACTGCTCCCTCCGATATAAGGGGGCCGTTGAATACACTTCCCCAGTTCAGTGGTTCTGGAGGAATGTTTTTATCATATTGTATGGTTTTTGTGATGTCATTGAGTGCCTCGCCTAGATGGAGAGTAATGCTCGGGGTTCTCGCTATTCCTTCTCTCTTCTTTTTTATATTGACATTATTCTTCTTGCTCGAGTCTCCTCGATGGCTCGTGAGTAAAGGAAAGATGCTAGAAGCTAAAAAGGTTCTCCAACGATTATGTGGCCAGGAAGATGTGTCAGGTAATGTTACTATATCTAAACTAATTTCATCCATTTGAACAAGGACAGTGTCTCTTTACGTAATGTTGGGTTCATGGTTACTTAGTTTCAGACAAACGTTAAAATTTTAATTGAAAGTATGCACTTAATTGAACTTTGTTCAAGCTATAGCACTTAATTGTATTGATGTGTTTTGTGTTTGATACCGTTCATTTCTTCACACATTCTCTTTTTGCCTTTTTATTGTTAATTTTGTTATCTTATATCATTTTATAAATTCCTATAGGCGAGATGGCATTGCTGGTTGAAGGTCTCGGGATTGGAGGTGATGCATCTATAGAAGAGTACATACTCATGATATTTTGCAAACCAAAGAAATTGTGAGTATTATTGTTATTGTTGTTATTCCCTAACTGTAGTTGTTGATGATGAATATGATGATCAGTAGTAGTAGTATAAGAATTATGATCATCAGAATCTTGTTCTTGCTTACACCAAAGCTTCTGAGTTTGAGTTTGTGCACCATAAGGGTAATGCTGCAACTGCATGTTGTGTGTATTGTAAGGGTGTTGTGGTTGTTGGAATGAAAGAGCATGCCAATTAGTTGTTGCATAGTTGTTGATGACTTGATCTGTTAAATGGGAATTAGTAGCATTATTATTGATGATGCTATGATGATGATGATCTTGGCCAATATTATCCACCACATTAACACTCAATAATTCAACTTGCTCCATATCTTTCAAACGCTTTGCAGCACCACCGATTGGTAAAGTGCTGCTCTCAAGTATGGTTTTCACATCGTATCGACTCATGTCGAAATTTGTAACCGCACTTAGTCCTCTGAACTCTATGGCTGCTACATCATATGCCTCTGCTGCCTCTTTTTTGTTATATAGTTAGTTAGAGATTAGAAAGTTAGTTACGAATGAATTGAATTAAGTGTGGACTGTTTTATTCTGGTATGAAAGTATGAAATGCTAACTGGATTTTCGTTGTTCATTTTTCTACATGGCTGAAATGATGAGCTGGTTCAAGATTCAATTTTTGTTTTTGTGAATTGTTTCCAACTATTTTTTTGATCTGGATTTTTGTTGGACTGATATGGATTAAAGCAAGTCTGACTGGTTCAATTTGGAAAGTTTGGATGCAGGTTAAATTATTTTATTGAAAACTGGTTTGAATTATGGAATGTATGAGGATGATTTGGGATATGTAAATGGCGTTTGTTACAGGTTCTGGTAGGTTCAATTTGTGATGTTGATGATGGTTTCGCTGCAGGAGGGTATGAATGGATTTGGATGTGGCATAAAAGTTGCATACTAAAAGATCACGATGTTTTTGATACTTGGCCTTGAAGATGATAATTTGAAGATGAAGAAGCCTGGGAATGAAGGATGAAGTTATCGAGACCAAAGGCTTGGTCTTGAAGCAAACTTGAAGAGACTTTTTTAGAATTAGGTCTAGAACCAAATCTTTGTATAATTTTCCTTGAAATTTGTAAAGGATGACTTTTCTTGCGTTGATGTATTGGTGCTTTTGAATTTGGAGCGTCCTTGCATTTTGTACACTTTGTAATTAATGGTAAAAAACTCCAAGTATTCAAGCCAACTTTCTTCTCCAAATTGCATACTCCTTTCTTTGATCTTGAAGTATCATTGATAGAATGATGATGAATATTGTGGACTTTGATGATGAATGTATTTGAAATTTAGCTTCACAATTCGAACTTGAATGATGATGAATAATGTTGAATAGCAATTGAACTTAAATTTTAAAAAAAAATAAGGAAAAGCGCTGCTAAAGGGGGGGGGGGGGTAATAGACAGCGCTTTTCATGAAAGCGCTGCTAAAGGGGGGGGGGGGGGGGGGGGGGGGGGGGGGTAATAGACAGCGCTTTTCATGAAAGCGCTGTCTAAAGTGATTGAAAAAAAAATTTAAATAAGGAAAAGCGCTGCTAAAGGGGGGGGGTAATAGACATCGCTTTTCATGAAAGTGCTGTCTAAAGTGATTGAAAAAAAAAATTTTAAAAAAAAATGAGGAAAAGTGCTGCTAAAGGGGGGGTAATAGACAGCGCTTTTCATGAAAAGCGCTGTCTAAAGTGATTGAAAAAAAATGAGGAAAAGCGCTGCTAAAGGGGGGTAATAGACAGCGCTTTTACCAAGCGCTGTCTAAAGTGATTGAAAAAAAAGCGTTGTCTATACCTTTAGCAGCGGAGGTTTTAGCAGCGTTGTTAAAGGCCTAAAAAAGCGCTGTCTAATCCCTTGTTTGGCATAGTGTGTGTTGTATTTCGAGATATTTGGTTAATTTCCGATTCCAAAAATAATGTGTTTGGTTTGTCGAGTTTGTGACTTTTTCGCTAGCCGACCGGAATTATGTTCAATTAGGAATTGGAGTAGGTTAATACCGGAGACGTATTAGTGGATTAATAAATAATTAAAGATTAATCCGGTAACTTTGAATCGGCGATGAGTTTATTAACTTAGGAGTAAGTGAAAATAGTACCGTTCGGTCCGATTAGCCAAATTAAGCGGTATAATTAGTTATCCGGAATTGGATGAAAATTTAGATGGTAGCTAAGTTGGATGTGTAGATTAATGTGGTGATGTCGGTTGTCGAAAATGCGGCATTTTATGAGAGTGACCGAAAATGGTGTTTAGGCTTGAATATTTATATTTTAAGAAAATATTTCAATACCGATTGTATTATTTTGCGAGTACTTAGATAGGTAGCTGAATCGACGTAAAACCTAATATTTAATTGATGAATTGTGAGAGTATTATTATGTGAAAAAGTGTTGAATTAACATGAGATAGTAATGCATACTAGTGCTAATTGAATTTTTGGAATGTATTTGTTAAATGGAAATTGGTAAGAATGATGTATGTTTATGTGGTTATGTTTTGATGATGATGAATGGTTTTATACTATGTGTATGTTGTGAGTTGTGGATGATGTGCTTAACATTTTATGCTTGAGTGCTAAATGTTATATGTGATGTGATGAGATGATTATTTGATGCATTGTGTGCAATTGTTGATGAAAATTCATAGAGTTGAATTTGTTGGGTATGCATGTATATTAGGCTCAGAGTGGGGGTCTTAATTGCATGTATTGTTGTTGAGTTTGCACACAATATCATTAGTCGTGTCAAGAGGCGATGTTTGTTAGTCTCGTGGAGGCTAGTGGCTCGTCCCAGACTCAGAGTGGGGGTCTGAAAGCTTAGGGAATGGGCTTTTGTGATTATCCGTCTGAGGGATAGACATCGGTAAATCCGAAGGATAATAGATGATTGGTACCACATGCATAAGTCATGTCGTTGTATCGGGTCGCACGTATAAGTTTTGTTGAGTTTATGTGTTGTTGAATATTATGCATTATATGCTAATTGGTAAATGAAATTGATTGTGTTTGATTTCTTTGAGTTGTTGAATATGGGAATTGGATTAAATGAATATATTATGTGGTTTATGCAAGAGTTGGAAAAAGAGTAAGATTCCTTTATTTAATGCTTTCAATTGCTTTAATTACATACTTTATATTTATTGGAATTCTTACCCTTCTGTTGGAAAATGCTTGCTACGGCATTGTTCAGGTACCGAAGATGGTAGTGCGCGACACTAGGACTTAGCAGATGCATTTAGGCGTATAGTCCGTTACTTTTTGGTTATCGAGTCGATGCTCTTATGGTAACACTGGGGGTTTAGTGTCCGTGTTCGAACTCATATTTTGTATATGGATTATACTTGTATATAATCTGTTGTTTTTCTTATATGATAATGTATGTATATTATAACTTGATAACATGAATGGTGTAGGAACCTTATGGCTTAATGCCTTGAATTTTATATTTTGATTCCTCCTTTGGAGAAGATAATATTATTATGATTCTGTTGCGTTTGCACGAAAAAGAAAGTATATGTCATGGATGCATTATGTGTTTAAATGATTAAAGTGACAAATATGTCATGTCCGTTTTTCTTGAAAATGTGAATTGATGTTGTGACACTCCTTCCGTGCAAAATTTATTTTCTCTGATATTATTTATATCGTTAATTCGGGGTTTATTAGAAGGGGTGTTACACTACTCATCAATAGTGGGATAGCATTTTCTAAAGGAAGATAGCATAGAACAATTCCTTTTTCGAGTAGGTAGATGGTTCTCAAGTACTTGCTCTTTCAAAAAACAAAACTTTTCACACTTACACTTTCGAACAAAGTTTTCAAAAACACTTCATACGCTCTTGAGGACAGAAGCAATAGTTAAATCGAAGTTTCAAATAAAAACTTTTTCAAACCCACAAGCACAAAGAAAGCAATATTTTGAAAACAATTGAGCAAGTACCTAAGAGCCCGTGGATAACCACGGATAGAAAGGGTGCTAACACCTTCCCTTTCTATAATCTACCCCCCGAACCCAAGAAATATCTCGAAAAAGGAATTTTTCTGTGCTTTTTTCCTTTCCTTGTTGGATAAAACAAAAGTCGGTGGCGACTCTTGCTTACCGCGACATTTTGCGAAAACAAACGCAAAACTAGCATTCCAAAAACAGTCAGATCTTCCCACCGTATCACAGAACTAGAGACTTTGCTGGGGATATCTAATAAGTGGGGTGTACCTTAGGAATAGTTCATAATGTTTTAAATTGCTTGACTTGTATGCTTTATATTTGTGGGCTTGTATTGGAGTTACTATAGATCCTAACCCGGATCTGAGGGATACCCTTTAGGTAAGTAGCAATAAACTGTGAGAGAATTGTACAGCGTAGACCGATACGGTTGAAGCAGTAGCTATGTTGGTGTGGCACTTTAGTATGTACTGATATCCCTTGTGGCGCAACGAGGAGAATATGGGTCTGCTAAGGGGTCATTAAGCACCAACTGACCTTAGAACCTTTAAATTGACCAACTTGGCCATAGAACAGTAGCAGTATGCTACACTCATTGAGACCAAACTCTCGCGATGATTCCGACTGCAAGAAAAGGTTGCTAAACTGGAAATATGACCGATCGAGGGTGGTCAGTGATATTGAGATCCTCTAGAACCCGGTTACTATTTCTAGGACAGGTTTGAACCAACTGAACTGAAAGAGGGTAATACCTAAGCTCCTTGCAAGCCTGAAATCTAAGGGCTCTCTGTGTGACTTGTGTGCCTTTACCATGTTTGCTATTTGTGGATACTTGTGGTGTGCTTTCTATCATGACATCATAACATCATAACATTGCATACATCTTGCATTGGACTAACCTATTTCAAAGACAGGAGGGATTCATCTGTGTTCTGTTTTGTAGGTCATGGCACCCATGCGTAGGAACACCATCTGGATCAACTTTGTCCAGGTTCTCACTATGCTTAAAGAATTGGTTGCAAAGATGTCAGGTACTA